GGGGGCCGGGCCCCACACGTCCATGTGGAGAGTGTGCAGAGGAGCAGTGGTTGGAGGAAACGAGGAGGAGTGAGGAGCGGCGCGTTGCCGCCCCTCGACGCAGGGAAGGCACGGCGGGGCAAGCGAGCGCGGGAGGGGGGGCAGGGACCTGGGAAGGCCAGAGACAAGGAGACGCGAGTGCATGTCACGAAGGCGCGGCAGAGAGGGGTGACCGAGGCGGTGGTGCCAGAGGAGAGTCTGGTGGGAGAGTACCCGACACGAGCACGACGCAGCGAACTGACCAGACGCAGACACCTGACCCGACGCAGCCACCTGTGCAGACGCAGTGGTGAGGGTGTACAGACTGGACTCAGGCTGACGGGTGAACGTAGCAAGGTGACGGCCATTCCGGGAGCACGTACAGATCGCCACACGCTGTCCTCCAGGAGTAAAGGTGTCAACCGATACATCCTGAAGGACTGCGTTGCTCACCAAGTTCGTCGAGAACGAGGGGTGGTGGAGATCTGGAAGTGAGCCAGAGGGGACTGCCGGACACGGGAGGACAGTAGAGGCTCGTGTGACAACTGGGCCCCCCAGAGGGGTCAGCCAGTGAGACTGGGACCGGTGCAGCAAGCGGTGTGACCGTGGTGCAGTCACGAAAAAAGCAACGAGACGCACCAGAGTCAAGTGTGAAGGTGTGCAAGGCCTCAGCTGAGGTAGCAGACTCACTAGCACCTGTGACAGCAGACGCACTAGCACCTAGAGCGGCAGCAGACTGACTAGCACCTGTGACAGCAGACGCACTAGCACCTAGAGCGGCAGCAGACTCACTAGCACCTGGAGAAGGGGTAGCGATACCATCAGCGCAAGGCACACACGAGTAACATGTACCCTCAGCACTAATAACATCAACATACAAAGCATATAGTGTCTGTTTGATCTTAACAAAATCAAGAGCAAACACATCTACTCCCTTCGCTATCAGCTGCAGCCAGTTGGGGACAGCCTGCTCATCACCATACTCGGCCAACCAAGCATCCTCGAGACGGCCGAAGCAGCGATACTCCGTGTGCCCAGTCTTCCCGCAGGTCTCACCCTTCTGGAGGCCCGTGCGCCTGACATAGGAGCATCGAGCAGAGCCCCCAGGGGAACCACGCTGGACAACCCACTCACGAAGCTGCTGAGTGGTGGGGTTGTTCGGGAGGCGTGGCAGCTGCGAACCACTCCCATAGCCTCCTTCGCCACGAGCTGAACCCCCATAGCCTCCACCCCTGCTAGCTCCACCCCGACTGCCTCCACCACCCCCGCCGCCTCCAAAACCCCCTGCCACCGCCACCACCCCCGCTGCCTGCACTGCCTCCACCTCCGGTGCCACCTCCACCGCCTCCGCCCCCGCCACCACCACCCCCGCTACCACCACCGCTAGTGCCACCCCCACCACCCTTACCCCCCTTGCCCTTTCCGCTGCGGCGCTTCCCACTAGGAGCAGACGCAGCGCCAACTTCCTCAGCACCTAGGAGGTCGACAGCAGCAGCAGTAGCAACAGAGGGTATGAGAGGGGAGGGAGCACACCCTTCAAAAAAGGGGGAGCGGAGAGTGCCACGAGAGGCAGCGACAGCGACAGTACTGGTCTCAGCCTCGAGAAGGTACTTCTCCAGCGAGGCAAGCGTGGGCTCAGTGGGGTCAAGGCGAGGAAGTGGTCCCTAACTGTGCGGAGGGAGCCAGGGTGACGTGTGACAAGGAAGTACAGGTTGATATACAGCGGGGGGGGGTTCTCAGCGGGGAAGGTCGGCTTGAGGGCGGCGCGGTAGCGAGTCTCACTAGAGCGAAGGTGGGTCATAAGGCCAGCAACAGTGTGGAAATCTGCGAGCTCAGGAAAGAGGTACGGCAGCATGAGACGGCCTAGGGCAGCAGTAGCTGGGGAGGAGTAACGAGGGACAACGGCGTCATAGTGGTCTTTGGCTGTCTTCTGCTGGCTAAAATGTGCCCTATCAGCTACCGGAAGGTGGTTGCGGACAGCAAGGCGGGCAGTAGGGTCACGCATGAGCCACTTCGAATGATCCGCGTGCGCTGTATCAGCTGGGGCTATGAGGGATCCGGACGTATGTGCAAACAATGAAACGCCATCCCTAGCTTCGCTCTGCAGGTACAGCTGAAGATCATCAAGCCAAGCGTCAAAGCTAATCAGGCGACCCTCCGCATCAAAGCTAAGAACCGAAATGATAGTCGTAGTAGCAGTAGCAGCCGCAGCAGTAGCAGTAGTAGTAGCAGCAGGATGAGCGGCACAGCAGGGCAGTGCGGCTCGGTAGGGGCAGGGGGCAGGGCAGCGCGGCTCGGGCTGGGCGGCGCGGCTCGGGCTGGGCGGCGCGGCTCGGCAGGGCGGCGCGGCTCGGCAGGGCGGCGCGGCTCGGCTGTGGTGTCGCGGCTCGGCAGGGGAGGGCTGCTCAGCGCGGGCGGCAGCAGCAGCTTAGCAGTAGCTGCGGCGTATGCAGGGCGCGTGCGGGCAGCAAAGGACAGCGCACAGGCTGTGGGGGCAGGGCGCGACACGTGCCTTAGGGGCAGCGCACGGGCGACGCCAGCGGCGTGCAGGCAGTGCGCAAGCAGGGCGCGCGGCGCGCGCTGTGCGGGCAGGGCGCCGGCGGTGCAGGCAGCGCACGGGCAGATCGTGGGCGGGGCGAGCAGCGCGCGGGCAGCAAATGCAGCACGCGGGCGGCGCAGACAGCGCGCAGGCAACGCAGGCAGGGCGCGAGCAGCGGGCGCAGCGTGCAGGCAGCGTGCAGGCAGCGCGAGCAGGGCGGCGCGACGCGTGCGGGCAACTGGCGCTCTTGCAGCAGGCAGCGCGCTAGCAGCAGGCAGCGCGCGCGGCAGCAGGGCAGCGCGACACTGTAAGGGCAGGGCAAGGCAGCGCAAGGGCTCTCCGGGCAGGGTCTAGCGGATCGATTTGGTGGGCCCTAAAAAATCTAACAGTGTTCCTGCTGGGGTTGTAGGAATGGTGGATGACTAGCAACAGGGAGATACAAGTATGAAACCCTAACTTGGGTTGTACTCTATACTGAGCACCTCACTGTAGCCTAGCAAAACTAAGAACATACAAATATGTTTTGACAGATTACTCAAATAGACAAACAAGGATTGTAGATTGCATCTCGTCTGGCTAGAATACCCATGGCTTGTGACATTACAGAAGCTAAATATCAATACATCTAAACAGAACCAATAAACAAACCATGGATACTATGCACATACGGTAATCGGAACCGAAGGACATTGGGCCTTTGCTGACCTGGCTCTTTGGAACAAGGATACCACAAGAACGCATACCACAGCACCGAAGCTTTATGAAGCTTCATCACCTCCGTGAACACAGGCAGGAGACACCTCATGCGCAACTTGTTCATCTTCCCCTGAAATTATTAATAAATTCATCAACAAGAAGCGTTAAGACGATAAACTCATAACAAAAGCAGATGAAGATGCATATGCTGACAATGTCACTGGAATGGTGAGGGAAAGGATGGGCTGACTTACCACAGCAGAAGGTGTGTGCAGGGGTTGGCGCACAGCAAGTGTGGTGGGACTCCGCTGCGTCAGGCGCCTTAGTGGCTGCTTCCTTCTTCTGCTGCATAAAGTGGCTCTGGAGGGCATGCTGCGTCTCCTCCCTCACAATCCTGAAAAGAATGCCGCAAACAACGCAACGGATTAGACAATTTATTCAATCTTCGCTGACAGCACACGAAGCGACGATCCGCATTGCAAAATTCAGCCTCAAACAGTTCTAATACATACTTATAAGAGCGCAGGGTCAGGTCCACGTAATTGCTGTCCTGCCACGTGTTATCGTCATCGTGGAGCAACACTGGAGAAACATCGTCGTCGGTCCAATACGCGCGGTCCACATCTTCTTCCACCGGCGCGGCGTTCTCCGCGTAGAACGGAGAAAGGTGGTGGGTCCCAGAAGTAGCCGCAGTAGAGTTATTTCTTTTTGGCTGAATACTGCACACAACCTGGCCGCGTCTTTGAACACGGCAGGTGGTCACTGCTTGAAAAGAAAACACACGCGCCGACGAAGAGACAGCGAGGGACGACGCCATGGTTCCTGGTCGGAAAAGGTTTTGCGAGAATATCAACTTCGAAGTTCCGAAGGGATGCGAAGTAGGCAATGTCTTTATAATGGGGACGAGTGCAGAAGAAGCACTGCGTTTTGATGCCGGAGGGAAATATCCACTTGCAGATACAAGCTGGAGACAGCAAGCTTGACGACTTTGTGGGAGAGGCGCACGTGGAATCAACCAGAGATAGAGGAGAGACAGATGGGGATTACCCAATAAGAAAACGGTTCACTAACAGAACGAACAGAAGCTGGATTGAAGGGACAGGTGAAGGAGGTTCACTATTGTATGGGACTCGACCATCTTCTAAATGGTGGGCCGGAATTTGCGATGTGGATGACAGCATGTCAAGCGTGGCGTGCCGTGGGAACTGTGGTTAGCGGAAGGCTTGGAAACCGCGCACCGTGGGCAACAACGTGGCAGAAACCGATATGATATCACCACAACACTTTGCTGACCAGTACGAGACCCAGAACGAGTCAGCAACTGATGTCGACTGGTTAAAGACTAGCGGAAGATTGTCAGGTGAATAGTGACACAAAACAAGTTTACAACCTCGCTGCGTGGAGAGGGTGGAATATGACGTAAGGGAATTTCATATGCCCAATAAATTAGCGCCAGCACACCTTTTACAGATCTTGACCTGGCATCGATATTCACATCTGCAAAACTTGTCGGCCGAGTTATGGCGGGCATGATACAGAACAAACTGGGAGCTAACAAAGTCGGACAGCTTAGGCAAAGTACAGAACCGTACTACCAAACAATCCCTAAAGTTTGATGTGATGTGATGTGTGTAGACTGACATAGCCTTGTTTCCAAGTCATGTGGAATTAAACCGAATTCAGGTGAAAGCAGATCACACGCCCCCCACCAATCAACCTGCTCACTCTGATTGACCTTCCTTATCACTCATTCGTCAAAAGGGTCTTCTAATGCATCCATAAACTCATCACTACCACTACTCCTCACACTTATCCCACCCTCCCCATTCCTGTTAAACCTCAAACCACCTTCCCCCCTCCGTTCCTCATCACCAACCATCCCTTCCCCTCTACCCATCCTTTCCACTTCCTCCAACCGCCTCTCCTCTCTCACTCCGTCTCTCGCCATTCCCTCCCCTCTTCCCTCAAAATCCTCCTCCATCTCGTCCTCTGTGTCCTCCAGAACCTCACCTTCCTCCATCTCAGCTGCTGCATCTGCACCAAATCCCACCCCACTCTCTCTCCCCCCCAGTCTGTCCCCACCTGTTCCAATGTTTGTCCCTGTCCCAGTGTCTGTACCTGTGCCTGTGCCTGTGATAGTGACAGTATACCTGCCTGCTAACCCTCTCCCTACCACAGCAGCAGCAGCAGACGAGGAGGGATGGGGATGCAGCAGCAACTGAACGCTGGTAGGAGCCACTGGTGGTGGTGCATGGGGGGTTGGAGTCACAGCCCTGCCACCTGCACCACCAAGGCGGCGGTCAGCAGAAGCAGCAGCACCACCACCACTGCCACTAGCACCACCATTACCACCACCACCAAAACCACCACCACCATTGGCCGCGGTGCTGCTACTGCCACCACCGCCACCGCCCACATGTGTCCTGTGCAACCCTGCTGCTCCGCCCACCCCATAGCCTCCCCCTGCTGCTGCCCCAACTTCCCGAATCAACCCCCCCTGCATCCACAGGAACATACTGCTGACATCATCCACATCATCATCATCATCATCCTCTGCTTCGCCAGGACCAGCAGCAGCAGCAGCAGCAGCAGCAGCAGCAGCAGCAGCAGCAGCAGCAGCAGCAGCAGCAGCAGCAGCACTAACACCACCACCACCAGCAGCAGCACCAGCACCAGCACCAGCGGCAGCATTGGCCACAGGAGCAGCAATAACAGCAGCACGGCCAGTGAGCAGGGCGAGAATCCTCTGCACGCGCTCCCCCTCTGTAGCTGCCTGCCACCTCGCCACTTCCGTGTCCGCCTCTGCTTCTTCCTCCGCATCACTGCGCTCCCCTCTCAACATACCCTCCTCTCCTCCCGGCCGTATCCCCCTTCGCAGCAGTGCCAGCTGCTCGCGCACACCAAGCAGGGGGAACCGCCAGCCAACCACAGCAGGGTGGGGGACGGCAACACCAGCAGCAGCAGCAGCAGCAGCAGCAGCAGCAGCAGCAGCAGCAGCAGCAGCAGCAGCAGCAGCAGGGTGATGATGGGCCGTGGCAGGGGAAGACGGAGGCGATTGCTGTGTGCGCCGGACAGAATGGTTTCTTCCGGGCAGCTCGGTCAGGACGAACTTTCCGGGCTGGCCGTGGATGTCGTACTGTGGGAACGGGCAGCCGACGATCGACACATGGCAGATGCTGCCGGGGGGAGAGGGAGGGGGAGGGGGAGGGCGGGGGGGAGGTGGGGAGGGGAAACGAGGGGGAGGAGGGGAGAAGGTTAACAGGGAAAGGGGGGTTCCAGGAAAGCTGAGCGAGTGGTGGTGATGCATCAGGGGTGGATGTGGCATGTGAGAGAAGGTACTAAAAGCTGGAGACTTTGTCAAAAGAGAGTACTTGTATACGAATGCCCACAGGAGATGCAGAACTATGCACCTCCAAGAGTGAGCGCCAGGGGTGCAGAGCAGAGGAGAGTAGAGTAGAGCAGGAACAAAGAGCATTGGGGTGACAGGGGGAACACGCGGGGGGGGGGGGGGGGGGGGGAGGGAAGGGGAGGGGGAGAGGGGGGGGGCACGGAGGGGGTGCCGGCACAGGCAGTGCATACATAAAGAATGCACAGCAGCGGCAGCAGCGAGTCACCAGATGCAGTAGGGGTCGTCAAACCGCTGTGTCCGCGTGTGCTGACAGACAATTGAGTGGACAGAAAGAGCGACCTGCCTTTTAATTCGAATACGAGCTGGTTCCTGAGGTGGCTCAAGACTCACCAGATATAGTAGAGGTAGTCGAGCTGCTGCATCTGCATGCGCTGACCTTTGATTCGACTAAAACCGAGCTGATTCTATAGGTGACTCAAGACTCACCAGATGTAATAGAGGTCGTCAAACTGCTGGGTCTGCATGCGCCCCACGAACTCCACCTGCGCCACGCCTCCCACCGCCAGCACCACCTGTGGCAGCACAAAGCGCTGCAGCGAATCCACCTGCGAGACACATGGGGAGTTGGGCGGTGAGGGGACGGTAAGGGAGGGGAGGTAGGGGGAGGGAACACGAGGGGAGGCGAGGGGGAGGGAAGGGAAGGGAAGGGCAGGGAAGGGAAGCGAAGGGAAGAGAAGGGAAGGGAAGGGAAGGGAAGAGAAGGGAAGGGAAGGGAAGGGAAGGGAAGAGAAGGGAAGGGAAGGGAAGAGAAGGGAACGGAAGGGAAGGGACGAGAAGGGAAGGGAAGGGAAGAGAAGGGAAGAGAAGGGAAGGGAAGAGAAGGGAACGGAAGGGAAGGGACGTTGGAGGGGAACGGAATGAGCGATTGCAGGTGCACGCACAAGGCAAACGAGTGGACGGACAGAAACACAAGAAAGAGCGTTTTGGGGAGTAAAGTGCGAGGGATGGTAGGCACAAGGAAGGCACATGGTAGGCACAAGGTAGGCACATCGTAAGGCGCATGGTAGGCACAAGGTAGGAACATGGTAAGGCACATGGTAGGCACATGGTAAGGCACATGGTAGGCACATGGTAAGGCACAAGGTAAGGCACAAGGTACGGCACAAGGTACGGCACAAGGTAAGGCACCTGGTGCATGGGGAAGAGAGGAGAGACATAGGTCCACGTGAATCCATCTCGCGCTGCCCCCGACCCGCCCGCTGCTCTGAACTCGTCCTCCGCCTCCTCACTGCCCCCTACCGCCCCCATTTGCCCTGGCCTAGTCTGTCTGTGGGTCTGGTTCGCGTATGCCTTGTCCAAGTGAGTGGGTGTGTGCTCCCCTGGTGGTGCGCGTGGGTAGCCCAGCCTCAGGCGCACGTAGCGCGAGGAGTAGATGGGCCAGCCGCGCTGGAAGAAGGCTGGTGGCCAGGGAGGGATGGGATGGGATGGGATGGGATGGGATGGGATGGGATGGGATGGGATGGGATGGGATGGGATGGGATGGGATGGGATGGGATGGGATGAGATGGGATGGGATGGGATCAGGTGAGGTGAATGAGGTGAGATAACAAAACATGCGATGCGATGCGATGAGATGAGATGAGATGAGATGAGATGAGATGAGATAGGGATGTGGTTGGAGAAGAGATGGGGCTTCCCACGGGTGGTAGAAGGGGAAAACGGGTGATGCGAGCAGGAGAAGGGGAGTGGGTGGACGTGGAATCATGGATGGCAGGCGGATGGCAGGCGGATGGCAGGCGGATGGCAGGCAGAACCATGATGGAGAGTAAGGGGAGAGGAGGGGGAGAGGAGGGGGAGAGGAGGGGGAGAGGAGGGGGAGAGGAGGGGGAGAGGAGGGGGAGAGGAGGGGGAGAGGAGGGGAGAGGAGGGGGAGAGGAGGGGGAGAGGAGGGGGAGAGGAGGGGGAGAGGAGGAGGGGTGAGGGGGGGGGGGGGGGAAGGACGCGGAAGTGCGTACCCTGAAAAGGACGAACATGGAATTCTCGAACCTGTGTTCACAAAATCAGTCACACACACACACACACACACACACACACACACACACACACACACAAACATGAGGAAAAAAGAGAATTGAATAGAGCGCATGCGAGTCAAAGACAGAGAGATTGGAAGAGCGAACCTAAACCTTCATGTCAGTAAGCAAAGCAGCCAGCCCCCCTCCGCTCCGCCCCTGTTTCCTCACCACTCAAATACCTTCACTCTCACACCATCCCCATTTCTCCCTCACCACTCAAATTACCTTCAGTGTCACACCATTCCCCTGCTCTCTTCCACCTCCCGCTCCCCCTCCCCTGCTTCCCCTACCCCCCACACATCACACCAGAACCCAACCGCCACCCGCCACACACGCACCAGGCAGAGGGGCACCAACAGACGGTACGTGAGAGTCTCCGGCACGAGGGGGTCAGCACGGCCCTTGCTGGACCAGCAAGAGAGCGTCACATTTGAGAATTCTCTGTAGTCAAACCAACCCCAAATCACCACACTCACCAAGCAGAGCGGCGCAGAGAGCCGGTACGTGAGAGTCTCCGGCACGAGGGGGTCAGCACGGCCCTTACTGGACCAGTAAGAGGGCGTGCCGTGATCCGGCCACCTCGCCTCCGCCTGCAGCGTCTTCTCAATGCCCTCCTCTGGGTAATTGTCCGTGCTTGACGCACACACCGCACTGCCAATGCACGGCACCCAGTCGAATGCCGGCCCGAGGGTGCGTCTGCGTGGAGGAGGAGGAGGAGGTGCAGGGGAAGGTGGGTGGGGATGGTTGCGGTTGGGGAGACGAGCGGTGGTGGGAGGAGGAGAAGGAGGTGGGGATGGAGGAGCAGCAGGAGCGGGGGGAGGAGGGGCGCGGGTGTTGTGGTGTCGTAGCAACCGCCGCAGAAGGCCGGTCCTCGTACCGCCACTGCCACTGCTACCACCGCTTCCACTGCCGCTCCTACTGCTGCTGCTGCCACTCCCACCGCTGCTACCGCTGCCACTGCCGCTGCCGCTGCCACTGCTGTGACTCGGGCCCTCCCTGCTCGAACTGGTGGGTGACAGGCTGCCGCTGCTACCGCTAGCACCGCTGCTGCTGTTGCTCGTGGCCGATACAGTTGCAGAGGCAGAGGTTGTGGGGACTTCTGATGCTACTGGAGCAAGAGACACGCCCGTGTTGGTCTGGGGTAAGGCAGCAGCAACAGCAGTGGCAGCAGTGGCAGCAGCGGCAGGAGTGGCAACACCCATAGCAGCAGCAGGATCAGCAGCAGTAGGGGCGTTGCGGGTGGTGAGTGCAGTGGCAGTGGGAGCAGCAGCAGAAGCAGTCGTGGTATTGGTGGTGGTATCGGCAGCGAAATTAGTGGTGGTGTGCGGTAGCGGGGCTGACTCAGTAAGGCCGAGAGGAGCAGCGAGATGCCAGCAGAGGGTGGAGAGGAACCGTGACACAGCCACTGCTTCCCATGGCAACCCCTCCCTTGCTACTACTGCCTCCTCCTGCTGCTGCTGCTGCTGCTGCTGCTGCTGCTGCTGCTGCTGCTGCTGCTGCTGCTGATCAGGAGAATGGTGAGAAGGAGAGTGATCCGTCTGAAGCTGCTTGCTCCGTTCTGCTCTCTCTGCTTCCCCCGACCTCTCCCTTCCCTCGCCCTCCAACCACTTTCCTCGCACTACCTTAGCACACACAGCGGCCGACGCACTATCATCACCAGCAGCAGCAGTGGCAGCAGCAGCAGAGGAGGAGGAGGAGCATGGGGGCGAGGAGGAGCAGTGGCGGGAGGGGTGGAGGGAGAGGGGACGCGCGCAGGCGGTGGGGCGAACGGCGATGAAGAGAGAGAGCTGCGGGAAGAGACGCAGCGCCAGTGCGTGCCAGAGAGACGACTCGATCACTGGCGCGCGGGGTGGGTGCAGAGGGAGAGGGGAGTGGGAGAAGGGGGGAGGGAGTGAGGGAGGGAGGGAGAGAGGGAGGGAGGTAGGTAGGGAGGGAGGGAACGAAGGGAAGGACGGAAGCAAACCAGTTGATAAGAAGGCGGAGACGGGGCAGAAATAGACCCAGCCAAACAGAAGTAGCACACGGTAGCAAAGGTGGATGAGGTGGCAATAAGGATTGTGGCAATGGCGAAAGTGGCGAAGGTAGAGCTATGGAGGCAACGGGACATGAACGCTGTGAGAAGGTGGCGCAATGGAGGGAGAAGAAGAAGGGGGGCATGGCGCAAGGAGGCGAATGCACTGCAGGGGCTGCAGAGAGAAGCAGTAGCGGCAGCCGTTCAGCGACGGGTGAGAAAAGAACGCCTAGCTGCACGCGCAGCAGCATACGAGCACGTGAGCACGTGAGCACGTGAGCACATACGTACGTACGTACCCAGGCGTCTGAGCAGGCGGCACGAGGCCATGCAGCGAGAGAGGTCGGCGGGAGAGTGCAGGCACTCGAGCACCTTCACCAGCACGTCCTCCTCTAACTCCACCAGCGCGCTCATCCCCACCCGCTGCACATGCTGCTGCTGCTGCTGCTGCTGCTGCTGCTGCTGCTGCTGCTCCTGCTGCTGCTCCTGCTGCTGCTGCTGCCCCTGCTGCTGTCGCGGCTCCCCACCGTCTCCCCAGCCCGTCGCCCACTCCGCGCTCTCCTCCCCGTCTTCTCGTTCCTCCCCCTCTTCTCGCTCCTCCCCCTCCTCCTCTTCCTCCTCCGCTCCACTCTCTCCCATGACCACCTCTCCTTCCTCTATCTCCATCCCCTCCGCTTCCCTCGCGCCCGCCAACGTCCCCACTGGATCTCTTATCCCGCTGCTGCTCCCTCCACCGCTCCCTCCGCCATACCCCACCCCCTCGACCACCTTCGCTTTACCTCTGTCCACTAGTTTCCTCTCCACCCTCGCTTCACCCGCCGCTTCCGCACCTTCAGTTACAGCCGTCCCCGAATGAGCCTGTTCTGGCTCTCCTACTGACTCTGGTGCAGGAAAAGGCGGAACGGCCGCGCAAGGAGAAGGCGAGGAAGGAGAGGAATCAATCGCCGCAACAACTGAGGCGTGAACGTGCATTGGCTTCGCGTTGCACTGCTGCTGCTGCCGCTGCTGCTGCTGCTGCTGCTGGTCCGCCTGTTGCTGCTGCTGCTCCGCCTGTTGCTGTTGCTGCTGCTGCTCCGCCTGTTGCTGCTGCTGCTGCTGCTCCGCCTGTTGCTGCTGCTGCTGCTGCTCCGCCTGTTGCGCCATGTGCGCAGACCAGCGCGCCAGCAGGAAGGATTTGATGGCGGTGGTGAGCCGATGGGGCCCCGCCAACATGGATGAGGGGACGACACTGCGAGAGACGATGGGGGCGACGCTGCGGGCGACGCTTCAGGCGACGCTTCGGACGATGCTGCCAGGAGAGGAAGACGGCAGAGGAGAAGAAGAAAAAAACAAAAAAAACACACACAAAAAAAAAACAATCACAGTCCGCACAATCCGTAATACGGATGCTAAGAAGTTCGGAAAGGGCACGAGACGAAAGAAGTGAGGCTACCGAAGCAGGAGCTGCGAGGAACAATAGACTCCATTTGCTACGGATGTTTATTCGGACGAACAAAAAAGTCTCGCCGTTCAAACGGAAACACAAGTCGCCATGGTATCGCCGCCGTCACCACTTCGTGACATAATACGTGCAAGCGAAACATGGAAAACCAGCTTCTTTCTCTCTTCGCACTTACTCGCGTTCGCTCTAGATCTGACTGGCTTACCCCGAAAGAAAAAACTGTGGATGCGCGTTGAAAGGAAATCCCTTGAGCAGCCACCGACGATCCCAGGAAGCTAGCACCTCGGACGGGTAACAACTCTTGTCTCGTTAGCACATCGCGGCCTAAGAATCGATGAGCGAACGGTGACCGAATCTGTATGGGTGTCCTCTGTTACGAGCCTACTACGGATTCCTGACCCTTGACTTGAGTGGAGACCATCGCCGCCAGGAGCTTCAATCACCGCGATACCTTTCCATCCTGGCACACTAGACAACGCAACGGAGATCACGGCCGAGTGCAGCAGGATGGCCGCGCAAAATGGTGATTCTACGTGTACGGCTTTCAGTTTGCTTCAAGGATCAATCTTACGTGGCGTGCAAGTCTGAAATCAGATAGGGGTTTCACCACATGGCAAGTCACCTCAGCATGCTTGCAAGTTACCTGTGCCCTGTTCGGTGCAGGGGGCACTTCGAGCGAGAGGTTCGAAAACGGAATGGGTAACATGGTAGTCTGAAACATTTCACAGCGGTGCACCGCAGCAAGTTGAGATGTACCGCGTTCCGTCATTTTCGATCGCCCTTTCGTGTTGGGTGGTGGGCCCTTGGTCTGAGAATGGACGAGAGAAACACCTTGGTACAGGTGTTCCGGGTTAGAGGCCCTCGCTAAAATAGTCCCTTTTCCCCCTTGAGTATAGTTTTCCGATATCGCCTAGGGTTGGCCCGACCCCTATAATCCCTTTTTTGGCGGGAAATTTTGCAGCTTGACCGAATCATTGCACGAATCAGCTCCGCAGCCAATCAGAGGCTCCAGATCGAACCAGCCCAACATTCAGGGAAAACGATAAATAAGGGATCATCGATTCGATATTTAACTTTAGATTTGTAAGTAGTTGTTTCTATTGACCGTGATTACTTTTCAATCCTGACGCGCGGTCTCCAGCGCGCTCGACGACGACATCTCATTTATCTCGCTTACAGGGTAAAACAAGAGTTTTTACCTTCTATTCGACCCCCAAACCATAATTGATTTTGTTTTATTTTGCCCGTTAGTCATGCGACATTGATCAGTTCGGGGAACTGTGCGACGAGAAGTTGAAGCAAGCGCGGTCCGAATCTACGTAAAAGACGAAATCCAAAACTAGTAGCAAACAAACCACTCTTTATGCAATTTTCCTGAACGGGACTATGAGTATCGCGTTTTGCCCGGGGTTTGAAGGTTTTTGCACATAGTCCGCGCGCAGCATCTCATTCCGTCGGACTATAAACGAGAACACCTGTATCGTTCTGCATGCATCACGGAGGGAAGGGGAGGGAAAATAGGAAGCTGCCTGCCACTGCAATTTTAGGTTCGAAATGGCGGTCAGCCCGGAAAAGGCAGACGTGGCAGTCATTTTCCTTCCGAGCCTAATCAAATGGAAATGCCTGCAGAACAGTCATTTCCCTCCACGGAAATGCACCCCCAGGAAGGTTCCTATTTCCCCTCACCACCTTCCTTCTCGGGCAAATTTATTTGCCTCCGCTCCGCCATCGGCCACCCACCCTTCACGGGGAAGTGCGACGGTGACGGGAGGGAGGAGCTGGGCGTGGGAACACCAGCCTCCCACCCAAGAAACAAGCTTCCCTGTACAGCCACTAACCCAAACAGGGTTGCAAATCTCAAATCGAAAAAGAAAAACACACACCAACCACCAAAGTGAAAACCCTGGCGGCCTGCTCACCACTCCTGTATGATGGGTTTTTTTTATGTTGAAAACGCACAGCCCCAAATAATTACCCTGGTCCTGCATTCGATGGTCAAGATTTACCCCTCCATTGGGAGCGAGAAATTCCGCGAGAAGTTCGTCATTTTCAATCGGAAACTACCTCCCCAAAATCCGAAATTTCCCATCTCGCATGTCTGCCGAGGGGGGGGAAATCGACCTCGGAACCCACCTCGGAACCCTCCTCATTTCCCTTCTCCCTCCCTCCTCCCCCAATCGTCAGGTGCCTACAGAACGACACCCTTGTGAATCTCCCAAGAACGCGATACAAATAGGAGATCGATCATGTTTTTATATTGAACTCAAAGTAACGGTGTGTAATCATTTTGCATTTTGTGGTGCGTACTCTATATGGTATGTACTTTTATGTGGTAACAGATGTCGCCAAAAGTTGTGAAGTACCTCATCGAAAATTGTGTGGCGTCTTATGTGTTGCACATGGTCGTATCCCCACCATGCGACGTCGCACACGTACTTTTCTTTAATATTATTTTAATGGCCACATTCGTACCGCCCTTCGAACGCGGTACGTACTTTAACGTTTTTCTTTTTAGTTTATACGCCCTAAAGTCAGGGAATCAACAAAGCAACATGACTTTCCCCTTATTTTTTCTTGGAGATTCAAGGTGCACCACTATGCAGGGCCCTCAATATTAGGGTAAAATACCCTGATTACCCTGATTTCATGATGATGTTATGAGTTTGCCATGAAATTTCAGGATGTTGTTAAAATTTACCCTGTGATGTCAGGATAATTCTAAGTGTTTTACCCTGAAATTTCAGGAGGGCCAGTTTGTCCTGAAGTGTCAGGATGAATGTCGAGGGATGCCCTGACTCGTGGGAAGGGGGAGAAGGTGTGGGAGGGGAGAGGGGAGGCAGGGGGGAGGGGAGGAAGGAGGTGGGAGGGAGGGGGAGGGGGGTGGGGGGGTGTGCTGGTTTTGTCCCCTCCACCACTCTCGTGTCTTGTAATATATTTTTGCCCTGAAAGATCAGGATGAATTCCTGCCGGTGCCCTGAAATTTCAGGATGGCCACAAAATTTTGCCCTGAAAAATCAGGTTATTTTGGAGAGTTTCACAGGAATTGCCCTGAGGGCTTAGGATGTCCTAAATCCTAGCATAGGCCCTGCCACTATGTGTCAAACTTATATGACATAGTCTGTGTAGGCTGTAGTGTCCATATGGGGTACAACACATTTAGGGTTTCCTATTTGTACCCACCTGCTTGCTAGTTCATTCATTCCTCGTTCTATGTTTCACATGGTTTCAAAGCAGGTTCCCTAGTGGGAACGTGTTTTTTTTTTAGGGCCCACCACGATCGTTTTTTCTTGCCCTGCCCGAAGCGCGCCTCGCGCCTGCCTCATCTGCGCCGTCGCGCGCCCTGCCCTTCTGCCGCCCGTCGCGGCCCTGCCCTAACGGCCCGTCGCGGCCCTGACCTAGCCGCCCGTCGCGGCCCTGCCCTGTAGCCGCCCGTTGCGGCCTGACCTAACCGCGCCGTCGCGCGCCCGCCCTACCTGCAGCCGCCGTCGCGCGCCTGCCCTACCCTGCCGCCCGTCGCGGCCCTGCCCTACCCGCCCGTCAAGCGCCTGCAGCCGCCCGTCGGAAGCCTGCCCTACCCGTGCCAGTCGCGCGCCTGCCCTACCCGCCGCCGGTGGCACCTGCCCTACCCGCCCCTGGTGAGCACCTGCCCTACCCGCGCTACCCGCGCACCTGCCCGACAAGCGCGCAGCCGAGCCGCGCCGCCCAGCCGAGCCGCGCCGCCCAGCCGAGCCCCGCCGCCCAGCCGAGCCGCGTCGCCCAGCCGAGCCGCGTCGCTCTGCCGAGCCGCGCCGCCCTGCCCTACTGAGCCGCGCTGCCCTGCCCGCGCTGCTCCTACTGCTACAGCTGTTACTACTGCTGCTGCTGCTTCTGCTGCTACTACTGCTACTGCTGCTACTGCCGCCATGGCTAGCCCTACTGTTCTTACCTTTGATGCTGAGGGTCGTGCGGTCGACTTCGACGTTTGGGTAGATGATCTGCAGCTCTTTCTTCAGTGCGACTCTAAGGACGGAGTCTCGCTTTTCGATCACACGTCCGGCGCCTCTGCTGCACCTGCTGCCACTGCTGACAGTACGGTTCGCGCCTTGCTGTTCGTAGTCACCTGCCGTCTGCTGAGCGCACGCACTTTGGCCAGTAGAAGACTGCTAAGTCTTTGTATGACGCTGTCGTCACGCGCTACTCCTCCCCTGCCACTGCTGCCCTCAGCCGCCTCATGCTGCCGTACTTGTTCCCTGACCTGGCCGCCTTTGCCACAGTCGCTGACCTCATCACTCACCTCCGCACGAGTGACACCCGCTACCGCGCTGCGCTTCCCTCCGAGTTTCGCGCCAAGAACCCCCCCCCCATGTACATCACCCTCTTCTACCTCGTCACCCGTCTCCCTGACTCTCTTCGCTCAGTCAGGGACCACTTTCTCTCCCTTTGCCCCACCGAGCTCACCGTTGACCTGCTCGAGGAGCGCCTCACTGCAGCTGAGACTAGTATAGTCGCAGTAGGAGCTTCTCGCGGCGACCCTCGCACCCCTTTCTTTGAGGGGTGTTCCCCCGTTCCCCTTTTGCCCTCTGTTGCTTCTGCTGCTGCTGTCGACCTCGTTGGCACCGAGGAGGTCGGGGCTGCGTCTGCTCCTAGTGGGAGGCGCCGCAGCGGCAAGGGCAAGGGGGGCAAGGGTGGTGGAGGGGACGGCGGAGGCGGCGGTGGTGGCGGTGGAGGAGGAGGAGGGGGTGGGGGTGGAGGTGGAGGTGGTGGCGGGAGTGGGGGCGTCGGTGGCGGCGGT